CCGGCAATGCCAGGGAGAGAGGGGCAGCAGCAGGGATGGTGGGGCTGCAGGTTGAGACTGAAGGGCACTGTCAGGGCCCTGGGGCTGTGGGTAGGGAGTGAGGTGTCCCCGCAATGGGTTTCCTCTTTTTTTTGGAACTGGAAATATAGTAACCCTAATGAAACCCAAAGGTAGACTGAGAGGAGGTGCTGTGAACAAGGTACTCGCCTGAACCTCAGCTGATGTTTGTTCAGTTCTTGGCTTTGCCACAGATTTCCTTTTAAAGCAAACAGGGACAGTTACAATCCTCAAGTCTCACCCCTTGAATTTCACCCAATAATTTCTGAATCAAGCCAATAACATCCGGTTGAGGTACTGCATGTCTTTTAGCACGGCATCTTTTTCCCCACCCTTCCTCTGCTTTGTCTAGTTTGACAGAAAAGACCGTCACTTTCTTGGTTGTCAGCACGGTGCCTAACACAACAGATCCCCAATCTCTGACGCAGCATCTAGGCACAACTGTGCTGCATGAAGTGACAATCACAAAACATGGAGGGAACACAATGTCCGGGAGCTCCAGGTCAGACCTGCTCTTAGATGAGCGCTGAAAATACTGTGGAACATTTCTGCCAAAGTGCGTGCACCTCCTGACCGTCTGCATCACAATCCTTCGAAAGGGCACTGCTTTGCAATTGCCAAAAAAAACAGAACAATGCTTCACCATCAAGAAGTAACAATATCTCATTTTTGGTGCCTTTCATAGCTTTGGCTAGGTCTAAGAATATGACGACACAGAGTGTTTACATAAAATATCTCCTTTCCCTGCTCCAGACCTGTTTCCAAAGGAGAGGTAAAGACTACAGCAACAACCAATATCAGTTTTAATGGCACAGAAGCCTCTTTTACTGTGTGTCTGCCTTTCACAAATGCCTACCCTTTGCTCTAGGCACCCCTTGATAATTCTTAAACCCACATGAAAACAGATCAGCACTCTTGCAATCCTGCTCCCACAACCACCCAGCAGGCAAAACCATGTGAGATCTCCCCATCACAGCCTTATCACTGTGGAAAGCAAATGGGTTTTGATGGTCTGTAACTTAGACCAAGCAGGGAAGTATGTTTCAAAGCAATGCATCTTGTCAGCTGCCCCCAAAGGGCTTCAGTGCAGCCTGCCCTGTCAATGGATGGCATGGGGTGTAGGGTCCCTGGGGCAGGGACAGTGTCTGCTCCACGTTTGTACAGCACCTGTCACAATGAAGATCTGGTCCGTGACTGGGGCTTCCAGATGCTGCCCCTACAAATAAATACATGAGTGAATTAAGATGTGAAGACAACTTTTCTGGTAAGTATGCTCTAAGCCATTAAGTCCCCTAACATTTTCAAGGGTGGGGGGAAAAGCTCTCCCCCCACCAAATTTAAAACGGAGTTTTCCAAGATCCTCCCCTGGATTGTATGAAAAAAACACAGTAGTGCCATCTCTACACCTGTCCCACTCAAGATTTCAGCATCCTTGAAAATACCTGCCTTTACTGAGAAACCCAGTGAAGTTTAATATGTAGCTGCTCAAAGTCCATAGCCTTACTTTTAGGCCATTAACTCCTCTCCCAAGGTTTCTAAACAAGCAATTCTTGGGGCCAAGCAATCAGACAGATCAGTGCTACCCCTCCAGTCCCTGCACTGTTGTCAAACCTGAGGAGTAGCAATACTGATTTGCCCTGCTCACTGGTTTGCTTTTTACCACTTTGACTGCAATCACTAACTCAGCTGGAGATCCAGGACTCAGAGCCAAGCGCCTTTCTTCCTCCGTGCAAACACCTCAGTTTACACCTCCACGTTCAGGTTAAAAACCAATTCCAAGGTGTAAATAATAAAGATGCTTTTACTTGGAAAAGCAGTAGAGTCGTATCTTGCTGCAGCCAGTAACTGACGGCAGGTTTTAAAGGAAAATACTGCAAGGGAACAATGCAATCAGTTCCAAGAGATTCTCGACGCATTTCCCTGACTACAAAGGCAACAGGAACGGCCTCCCCGACTCTCTGGATTAACTTCCTTTCTTTCTGAGATATGAGATGCGAAGGAAATGCATGACATTCCACATGGAAATCCCAGGGAAAACAGGTCACATGCCTTGGCAATACCCACTAGCAGTACGTATGCTGCACAAGATGACCAACACCATCCTCGGGAGGGGGAAAACTCTGGCACTCGCTCAAATGGCAAATCAATGTGTAATGGAGTAAGCCTCCATGACGATGAAAGCTGTGCTCTCTGCAACTCCTGAATGCGTAGGAGCAAGTCGTAACATCGGCCCTAGCAGCACCACCATAGAAGCCCCAGCCCCGGTCGCAGGCTTCCCTCTTCAGCTTGCACAGACATACACTGTGGATTGCCCCCAAGCTTAGCCAAGCTCTTCCTCTACCTCACAATCCCCAGTCTTCACCTCTCCCAAATTTATTCATCATCAGAGATGGCTCCAACCACTTCCCCAGGCAGTCAGGCCTATGAGCCAGGCATTGCTGCTTCTTCCTACAACCTATTCAACCTTGTCCTGCCTGCAGTCTTGTGCAGGGATAGGAGTGCAGGCTGGAAGACATCTCCAGCTCTCACAGACAATAATCTCTTGCAGGCCCTCAGCATCACATGCCTTGACAAATATCGCCGCCTCCTTTCTGGCTGCTCCAGTGCCAACCACGCTACAAACGCATTTAAAAAGCGGCTGTCAGGATTTTCCTGTCTGGCTCATTCTGAACATGCCCTCACACTATTTTCCTGGCATCCTCCACCAGCTCCGTATCCTCCACCTCAAGCACAAGTTCCTTGTCTTTAACTACTTAGCCCCCAATCTACAAATTTGCTGTCCGCCAAGTGCCACCTTCACATTGCCACTGCCAGCAGCTCAACACCTGTTAAACGCCAACCAGCAAACTCAGATTTTCCTTCCGACCGAGCGCGGGGACCGATCTTTTCCCAGACGTTAGAAGTTAGGGGCTGGAAGGGATCGTACAAGATCACTGGGTCTGGCCCCTCATGGAGAGGCCCTCTTTCTATTCAGTTCACTCAATGACTGCAACTGTGGTGGTCTGGCCATTTTGTAATGACCTTGGCAAAGAGCCCTCAGGAGGCTGCTGAGCAATGTGCCAGGCAGGGAGATGTCTGGTGACGGGCCCCTTTTTCACATCTCCAAAGGAGCAATTACAAAACATAACTGTGGGTCCAAATCCCCATGTAGTCAACAGAAATCCCTGAATCAACATTAAACACGGCAAGACGACATGGGGAATTCTGATATACAAAGGACTTTTCAATGCCCAGCAAGGGACACTGGCTTTGTGGCACTTATCTGTACGGCCACGGTGCCCACGAGCCTGAGTCAGGAATCTCACCTCCATACTCCATACAGTCACTGGCAGCGTTACACTGCAGCATACAAACACCAGCAACATCCAAGCATGGGTGACATTATCAGTGTGATACCACCCAATCACCACTTTTCATTTCTCTTTCACCTGCTTTGGGCTGTTCGGCATCCTTTTTACAATTCGCACCAGGGCGCCTTTAACATGAATACCCAATTGTTTTGAGTTTGGTTTTTTTTCACGTGCTATTCGTTTGGCAGCAAACCAGAGACACGGTGCATGTTTTCCAGTAATTAATTTGCATGGTTATTTTCCTAGGATCTTTGAACATGCATTTACCAACTGCCTCTCTCTCATTACAGTGGCAGGGTATTGGTGGTATCTTCATCTCTCCTGCACTTGCCTTATGGCATGTGGTATTTCAGGGGTCCTCAGCCCCTGGCCTGCAGGCCATAGCTGACCCCTGATGTTATGTAATTTGGTTCACAGGTCTCCCCACAGGTCCTGCGAGGAGCCCCGCAATCCACAGCACTGCTAGATCTGGCGAGCACAGTGGTGCAGGATACAATCCCTGCACGCAGGGGCTGGGCAGGGGCCCGATCCCAGCCTAGCAAGTATGGTAGAGCCACCAAAACCTGATCCCAGGCAGGTGGAGGCAGCATGGAGCCCCACACTGCTCCCACCCAGCCAAGATCAGGCCCCACACTGCCTCCACTGGTCAGAGCCTGATCCAGCCCATGGTCTAGCCCAGTGCCATTCATCTGGCCTGTGTAGCCAAAATCTGTGAGCACCACTGCAGGGGAGCATTCTTGATGTTTTGGCTATTGTGCCTTGCAGTTGTGTGAAAGGAAGTAGCAATTTGGGGGAAATCCCTTGGTTAAATGGTTGCCTGCAAATGCAGGGGACTGGATACAATGGGCCAGGAGACCCTTCCCATCCTATGCTGCCATGTTCCTACATAAATTAAAGAGAAACCTTCCCTCAGAGCACTCATAGGTTCAGAGGATGACCCTGTTTGGAAGACCAGAGGGACGTGTCCCCACCTTGCAACTTTTGTACCTTGAGTTCAACTCCCAGCTCAGCCTTTTTTTTTTTTTTTTTTGTGTGTGTGACCCTGGACCAGTCTCTTAACCTGTCCATAGCTCCCATGTGTAATGTGGGGATGATTGTTCTCCTACACCACGTAAGGCTGTTGGCAGAATGCTAAAGGCTGCAAGGAGTTCAGCTCCTACAGAGAAGAAAACAATTATCTCATAAGGCTGCAGCTTGTGTTAGCTGCAGGGTATTTTCGAAATGTGGGTAAATCTTGTTTGGCCAACTGAAGGGGAAATACTTCCTCCAGAAACATTTCAAAGCATGTGCTGGCTTCTGAGCCTCAGATACACTCCCACTTCACAGAACACTTCTTTCTTCCCATGCAAATGCATTCTCCTTAAGACAGCATGTGTGGCTCGGCTCTTCCACGCTCTGCCTCTCTGGGTGTGGTGCAAAGTGAAGCGAACATTGCTGAGAACAGTGAATCCCATATCTGTGCAAGCGACCGGACTCAATAATCTTTGAGGTCCCTTTTAATTCTGATTCTCTGAAGGATACAGATGCAGGCCTGTCTGAAGAAATCACCATGATGATGAATGTTGTAATATTATGACCAAAGAAACTGCAGGGGAAAAAAACCTACCATGCTTCTTTATCGATGGCTCATAAAATCAAAATCATCTGTGTTGTCCTCCCACAGTTAATATACACTTTCCAAATGTACACTTTCCAATATAAGCCTAGACTTGATTTTAATAAGGGAAGAATCTTTACCAATGGCTATTTCATAAGAGCCTATGCGTCACAGTGAAGGACACTACTTAGCAATTCTCTGCCGTTCCATCTTCAAAGCACTGTGCAGACATTTAATTAGTACTCAAAGCCTCCTGTCTCTCAGTCCTGTGCGTGGGTCACACCCCCTTATTAACGTCTTGCATTATAAAAACAGCATTACCCAGCAATGCATATTGATTACAGTTGTGACCTGTGTTACTCCCATGAAGAATTTAACTCTTCACTTAAGTAGGGCTCATTAATTTACCTGAAGTGCTTTGCTTTGAAGATTTAAATTGCTGTATAACTAATACGAAGTCAGAGTAGGATCCAAAGTTTCTCAAAGAGCAGTAATACTCCTAAATGCCCTCTCTTTAGTTTTGATACCTTTTATTACACCAACTAAGAAATCGCAAAAAAAAAGAAAAAAAAAGTTGTTCTGCAAGCTTTCAGGCACACTTGCCCTTCCTCAGGCTCAGGGAAAATTAAAGATGGCAAAAAGTCCCCATACGTAGCAAACAAACTTCATTTATTTATGAAGGTGCAGCTTCATAAATTATTCATGAAAGTGCACCTTCAGCATCCTCTGTGCAAAAACGAAGTTTATTTTCTACCTATGGGGACTTCTTACCATCTTCAATTTGCCCTGAGCCTGAGAAAGGGCAGGTGTGCCCGAAAGCTTGCAGAAAAACATTTATTTTTTGCAGTTTCTTAGCTGGTCTAATAAAAGGTCTCATCTCTGAACCAAGAGCTCTAGAGTTTTGCATTTCTTTGAGTCTCAGACCAACACGGCTGCTACCAAATACACCCCCTCCATTCAATTCGCCACAAGTTTTTGAGGTTTTAATACAAAAAAAAAACGCTCCATGTTTTTTTCCTCAACAACATACTGCATTCTATGCACACGCATTATATATACATACAAATACACCACCAAAGTTTTGGTGGCCGCTACTGGGCTACAACAGACAGGAGTGAGGAAACCTCGGGAAAGGCATGACGTCTTTGATATTGCTAACACCCAGGAGGCACTGCAGGTAGCGCTCAAACCCCATACCGAAGCCTCCGTGAGGGATGGATCCAAACTTCCGGAGATCTAGGTACCTGTAATTTAAACAGACAGTCACGTTCACAATGCGTTATGCTGAGATAATTAAAGAGATGCTTTGTATTTAAGGCTTTTCCATTTAATTACTTTCCCTGACCCCAGCCCCGGTGAGGGCTGCACCGTGTTTCTGCCACTATATAGGGCTGGCAGTGTCGACAGATGACAGCCACAGCTGAGATGGAAGAAACCTCTCACACCAACCAGCAATATATCTCCCTGCTTTGTTGAGACAGTTTTGCTTAGGGGGGTGGTTTTACTTCACAGCTTTGCTGCTATAGCTGTGCCCACCCCAGGAATGCATTGCTGGGTGGTAAAGTACTCATCCTATACTGGTCAAGAGCCTTCTGGAGCAGACATGGCTTCAGACTCTTACAACATCAGAAATATCTGTTGCAAGTGAAGAAAAACCCCTGATAGACTCATTCCATCCTTCCCCTGGAGGTGCTGAATTAGCGCAACAGCAGCAGCTTTTGTTTTCTGTCTAGTCTATTTTTAAATGTCCTAAAGTGATGCGGTTTCCAATAATTTCCTTAGAAGACTATTCTGCTGTCTGATGGGTCTCACTATTAAGACAGTCTTCTGATGTGTACCTTAGCATCTTCCTTTGCAGAAGGCAGAACTGACTTGCAGTACCACTCTAGCACATCTACTTCAAAAATGTTATCTCAGACACTCTGGTGAGTAGGGCTGGCAGAAATAATCCACTAATTTATTCAGTAATAAGCAAATGACTAACTGAAAATCATTTGGGTGGTGGGCAAATATTCTGATTGCTTTTAATATGAAAATTGGGTTTTAGTAGAGTTGAAGTGCTGCTGTAGCTGGGATGGTCCAGGAAGTATGTGAGCAGCAAGGATTTTTTGTAGGTGGTATTTTTTATTGAACCAACTGCAAAGCTAGGATAGACCTAGACAAGATTTGGGGATCACGGTATGTTTCCTCAGCTTTGTTCTTTTTCTCTTTTTGCAAATAACATTTGCTTTCCACAGAAAATTTTCATGCCAAGGCCAAAGAACTGCCCAAACAAATAATACGGGTGGGCTCTAGGACTGTAGATGTAGATGGATTCTGGGACTAGACAGGAGATGTAGTTGTGTTTCTTCCTGGCCTGTTTTTTGCAGCTAAGTTTCCCCCATGATGCACGATGGGCTATGCGTTATTTCCCCTCAACGTTTTGTTTTTAGCATGAATTTTGGAGGTTTTTACGGTTTTGCTAAAAAATCAACATTTTCCATAGGAAAAAATTCCAACCAGTTCTCAATTTGTTTAGGTCACACCATTGTTCTGCCAGAGAGGAAAGTAAATGCAACAATCAAGGGAGGAGGGCCTAGTGCTATATATCCAGGCATTCATTCTTTGATCGGTTGGGTTAAAGAAAACAAACAAGCCAATTCTTAAACAAGCAAGCTTTTCTATAGTGCTAGGGCTTGCTTTTCAAAATGCTAAGGGCCAAATTCTGGCTTACAGGCTTTCAGTAGAGCTACTCATATGCTTAAATGGTTTACTGGACTACAGCCTAAATTATACCATTACAAAGCCAAAGTAATTCCACTGATTGATCTCTGCCTCTAATACAGATATCCATATTCACACCCCATCCTTTAAGAAGGCTGTTAGGCAATTAGGTTTTCAGACTCAGACAAGCTGACAGTTTGTATTTACGACTGCTGGCATATTATTTTTTTCCTAGGAACTCATTAGCAACAGCAGCATTCCCAAACTGATCCTTGAATACCATAAATAAAATAGTCCTTAAGGGGTCTTCCATCCTCTCCCATTTCCACCCCAAAATGTACTTGCCTCCACTCTCAAACTGCAGCACTGGAGGTTGGCCTGGGACTCCCATGGGCAAAGCATGCGCAGCTGGGCAGGTGGGATGGGGCTGTGGGCAGGTGGGGAGCAGCATCCGGGAGCCAGGACATGGCACGGTGACAGCACAGAACTGGCAACCATCAGAGGGACATGCAGGGAGCCGATTGCAGCGTTGCCCTGGGTCCTGGCCCCGGGCTATCACTGCCCTGCAATTCCAGCCCCTGCCCATCCATTCTGCTCCGGGATGCCGCTCCCCCCCATTCAGGCCCATCTGCCGGGTTGTGCGCGTCCTGCCTGCAGGGGCCCTGGGCTGATTTCCATGAAGACCCTGACTGCCTGCTCCATCTGGTGCCCTGGCAGTGGGTGCAGGGCAGATATCCTGGGGTGCACCGGCAGTGGGGGCAGGTCTGGCAGCAACAGCAGCAGAGACACTACCAGTGGCAGCTGGGCAGAGTAACCTATCACAACGGGGGCTGCCGCACTTCCACCACACTGGGCCAGGTTGGCACCCTTCCCCAGCCCCACCTGGAAAATCTCATTGAAACTCCTTAAGTGGCCCTCCAGCCCAAATAACTGTCCACCCCCGTTTTGGACCCAAAGGCTGGTTCCCTACATCGACTAGGGAAGTTAAGACAGCGAAGAGAAAGAGCCCACAGATGCTAAGTGCATTGCTCCTACATAGCTCCCAGCCCAGCCCAGAGATACTTGGCATAGATTCATGCCTTCCATGGCTGAAAAACAATAATTTGCTGTCAAAGAGCAAGTTGGTGGTGTATTTTATTTGTAGATCACAAAGCCAAACTGTAGCCATTTGGGCTGAACCCAGATCCCAATAAAGCTAATGGAAAGCTCCCACTGATTTCTACAGCTTTTGGATCAGATCTTTTAAAACTTTCTGATGACTTACAGGTGCAGCTCTTCCTTTTCCCACATCTTTCTGTAGAAGCGCTAGAAAATGCTCCTTGAGTTTTTCTTCGTCCACCTACATGGTAAATTTTTCACCTTACAAACAGCTATAGGCTCCTCCAGCTGTCTCTTGTTGGGACTAACACATGGTGCTTGATGGGAAAACTGAACGCTCCCCCTTCTCCTGATGGATTGTGCAATGTTTTGCCACGAAAGGAAATCTCTCTCCATGACCCCAGCTGGCAATAAGTTTATGCCCTGGAGCTGGAAGGTTGATAGCCTTTGTAACCTCCCAGTCTTGCTAAGCTATGTGCTGCAGCAACATCCCCTGGCAGCGAATTCCAGGAGTTCATTATCTGCCAAGTTGAAAAAGCATTTCCTTTCATCCCTTTAGAAACCTGCATCCTTTTATCTTCATCAAGAGCCCTTGCACCGCACTGGAAGGCAGTGTGAATAGGAGCCACGTCTTGGCTGCTATTTACTACTGAATGTGCTGGGGCTTCCTCTGTCTGCTTTCCAAACAAAATAACCCAAGCCCTTTTTATTTAACCCTTTGCTTATACAGAAATCTCCTCAACCTTGGCTAGGGAAAATGAGGCAGAAAGAACAGTGGCTGTGCACTCTATGAGCCTGGACACTCAACCAGGAGAACATTAAATAAATAAAAGTAGAAATCAAAAAGACACCAGGCTTCAAAATAACAACCTCCGAGACAGATCGTTTCAACGACTGATCCAGATTCTGGAGCGAGGACATTAGTACAAAGAACCTTATTGCTCAAGGTATATGAGGGGTATATTGATTTTGGTTTCGTCACTGGAAAAAGCGTCGAATCCTTGGATTGATCAGTGGTGGCCTCAGATAACCTTGGCTTTACATCTAATTCCTGTGCTGTTCAGGGTGACATTTAGGTACAGAAAGACAGACTAGAGAATGAATCATAATGCTGATCATCTTGGCCATAAACATGTATACATCTCTCAGGTAACAAACATATGATGCTGCCATTTCCTGATGCCAGGTATAACCTCTACTCTGAGCTCATACATCACCTCTTGTAGCACAGAGACAACAAGGTCTGAAGGTCCAATCTTCTCCTTACTGGCACTCACCGAACTCAGCAGCTGGCCCTAAACCCTGATCTGGTTCTGAGGCTGACCTTCTGAGTTACCCCATCTAGAAAATGGGGTGATAGGACTTCCCCCTCCGGAGAGGTGTTGTGGGCTTAACATCCACATTGCACTCAGAGGTGCCTTATCAATACTGTTATTGGCCCCTGAGAGGAACTGATGCATGACGCTTGCCAGCAATTTAGGACTTACACATCTGGAGGCACATCTGCTAGGCAACTCCCCAGCATTATTACAGAGGAAGGAGACAGCACCCAAGAACTCAGAAGTACCATACGCTGCTAAACCAATGCGGCCCTTGACAGTTTATACTTTTACCATCACGAAGTTCTTTTCTTCTTCTGTGTAAGGCTCAGATCTGCACTGTCCAGCAGATCATCCGTGCTAAGCAAGCTCGCTGAAGAACATTTGGTGAAGAATCATCAGTGCAATAAAAGCTCAGCGAAGAAGACAGGGCTCACCTTCCTCCAACCAAAGGACAAATGAGTGCTGATGACAGGCAGAACATTTTATTTCACAATTTCCATAGTGGTGGCACCTTTGTCTCTCCTGCCATCTTCCTATACTACATGGCAGGTTCTTTCTTATTGGGGCTGCGTGGCTACAGTTATGAGATAAGCCACAGTGGATCTGCTTGCGGTGTCTTTTGGACAAATTGTTGTCTGTGAACACTCAACAGTTTAGGAGGCCCCTGCCAGTCCTATGTTCTCAAGAGCCTCCACCTTGAACGAGACAATAACCCTCTATTTTCTCCGAGTTAACGCTAACAAAATCTAGGTTCTGGCTTGCATCAAACTGTTTTCACAATTTATGGGTACAATTCAAATCAGAATGATGATGAAAGTCCATTATCTAGAGAGACCCTGGGCTGTCATGCTCGGTCTGTGTAAGCACTGAACAAAAACTGGCATTTGAGTAGCAGAATATCCTTCTTCTCATTTGTATTATGGTAGTACTTGGAGGACCTCAAAAAAGATAAGCTCCCCAATGTGCCAAGCATAGTGCAAATAGGGAGTTAGATAGTCTCTGCCCCAGGATGCTTTTAGTGTAAGCCAGCAATACTCAGATCACGGGCTCCAAACCACCAGTACCTCTTCAACTTAGCACCTCTGACTCTTTGCAGAAAATACAATCTCACTTCATCTTTTTAACTGCATGAACCTTTCCTGCAACCCAAAATAAGACAACACACATGCTATCAACTGTGATACTACCTTTTTCTTTTGAGTGCGCTTGGCACGATTCACCAAGGTGGAGAAGGGGATGTTGCTGTGGCTCTTTAGTTAACACTGCTTGTTCATGTGGTTTCCAAGCCTGTCAGGACTGAGTGTGTCTGGTCTAGAGGCAGGCACAGCAGGGCTAGAATAGGATCCTGGTCTTGACCACCCAGTCCAGTGCCCCATACCCCACCGGGCAGTCCACCCTGCTGGTGCTTATAGCCTTCCAGTGACTATAGCTAGCACAAAGAGTCAGCAGCATGAAAATGAGGTGACCAAGTTCCCTGACAATATGAAAGGACAATGGAAATAAAGTAAGTAACCACATAAAACAGTTCTGAATGTTTCTTCCCAATGTCAGGAAAAGAAAGAAAAACTTACAACATGTGAAAAATGTATTCAAGTGAGGGAGAGAGAGGGACTAAGGAATTCTACCGTATGTTATTAAAGTGCTCTCAGCTGCTGACTAAATGGAGGGACTGAAACACAAAATAGCCCATTTCAGATCACTGGCTTCCCTCCTCCCACCCTCTTCTCCCAGTGGGACAATGGGTCTATTAGAGGCCGGCCACTCCTTAAATACCTTGCTGAGGAGTGGCAGGGTTGTGACACGAGGGGTCCTGCAGGCCTCAGTGGGAGGGAGCGATACTGTAGCCTGCACACGATTCTGCAGAGAGCCTTTGCCAGCGTTTGTTGCTGAAAAGTGAGTAACTTGTACTTGAAGACTCAGGCAGATGATTCAGTTCTCCTCCAAAGAGCTTTTGTGACTAACTGAATTCAATCATTAAAATGGAAAACAGATCAATTTTTTGTCCTGCTGAAACGCTCGATGCAATCTTAATTATGGAAGGTCTGCTGCCACCTCAAAAGCACTGAGACACTAGCAGGAGTGAGTGCTGCAAGGCAAACCCAACAGAAGCCAGAGACCCAGTTTCAAAAGAGATCAACCCTCCCCACTCCCCTCTAGGCCGTTTGAGTAAACCAGTCAACGGCAGAGTCCAAGTACGAAATCAGAAGGTATTGCTACGCCACAGCATAAGCAGTGACCTCACCCTCCGAAGTGTGCTCCCATGGGAGTAATAAGAAGGAAAAAAGGATAGAGACTGAGGGATGACAAACCCCCGTTCACCATCAGAGTTACCTCGAGTTCCTTGGTGAATGTAAGATAAAGCACAGCCCAGGCTCCTTGCTAATGCTAGGGGAATCCTTACCTTAAACACAACTGCCCAAAGCTCCCAGCATAAATCCATAGACTTTCCAACCAACCATGGGGGACAGAAAGATGTCACCTGTCTCCCACTCTGGCTCTACAGAACTGTACAATTAGCTAGTTGTACTAATGTAGCCACAACTCTATAAAGGACCACACGCTGGTTGCTGTCAGAGGCAGAGAGATCAGTAATTCAATCTGCTCTGACTGCCCCCGCAGCTCAGTGATTCTTCCGTCATCGTGCCCAGTTCCATGGATGCAAGGAATGAACTGAGCTTTGTCACTAACTTCGACCAATGTCTACGTCCACAGCTTTCTAACAACATAGGTTTTGCCCCTTAGTCGCCCTCTGCAAGTAGCTGTGCCTCGGGACTTAGAGGGGTTCATCTATGTCAAGGCAAGATGTCTTGCTAAAACAGAGGGGAGAAGGCTAACAGAAATAGGAGAAACGTCTTGTCATGGAGTAGGTCAGATGAGATGACTATGTTGGTGATGTACACTTCTGTGGTACTGTGGGCTGTGCTATTCCCAAATGTTTGCAAGATGCCTGGGGAATCCTGCATTCGCTCCAGACTCTTCATCCAAGTTAAGAGTTTAAAAGCCTTTTCCTTAATGATCATGCCACCCACTTAAGCACCTTTTCGACAAACCTCTCAAACACCTAGAAACTTCACTCCTCCAACAGCTGATTAAAGATACCCAGAGAGAACTATTATTCCAGAAGGGACTCAGGGAATCTGTACAGTCAATTCTGCATGGAAAAACCTCCAGGAACTTGCTTTTTTGCCTATTAAATTCAACGGTTGCTCTGTCTCAGTAATGAAACAGTCTTTATCCTTGCAACCATTGTGCTGGGCTCTTTGGATTGCAAGTGGAAGTATGCATGTTACAGATACAAATCACTTGTGGCTTATGTATCCTATTTATTTTAGCAGTCAGGGTCTACTGTAACCATATGTACAATTCAAGGATTTAATATTAAAAATGACTGAGAAGCCACAAGTCAATCAACTTCACATACCATATTTATCTGAATCCAAGATGAGGTTCCCTACCATTTAACTTGGTAAAAAAGATGACCCTTGTCTTGGAATCAAGTGGGGAGGGGAGGGGGGAGGCAGGCAGCTGCTGTGACTTCTAGCTCTGGCTCTGATCTGGGCTGAGGGCCAGAGCCACAGCTGCTGCCTGTTCTCTTGCCACCCCTGCCCCCCATCCCACAGCCTTTAT